ATTATCGGTTGGGATAACAAAATTTCGCATTAAATAAATTATCAATTTTTTCGAAAAAATTAAATCGATTGTAATATTTTGACAAAGGGATTTTTTTTATCGTTTTATGATTGACAAATTCGAAGGAGAAAGAATAATGCCTTTGTATATAATTAATAATATTATAATATTCATTAGACAACTATTAATAATTCTTATAAACAATGGAAATAAGAAGAATTTTGCACCGTTGGTTTAATTGGTTTGAGACCAACCATATCACATGTTTCCAACATTATGCAGATTTTGTTAATTTCTTTGTTATTATTACATAATTCAAATCAGTGATATATGCAATAAATAAATGCTATATATAGATTTACATTATATTTAAAAATGTTTTACTTTACAATGCTGATATTTCTAACTACAAAATTTAAATAAAAACAGAGGAAATAAAGCTACAAAATTCAGTAACTCAATTATTGATGGGGTCGCAAGGAAATTTAAGGTGGAAAATAAATAAGAACAAATAAAGAAAGCAAGTGAATTGAACCATATAACCATACGAGAGATTGTGTGGTCCAACCCAAATAAATACACATATTTTTTTTGACAGTTGGAATCCAACTACAGTATTTTGGCCGCGGTGGTAAACCCTTTGGTTTCACGTAATAGCATGCAAACTATGTGGAATAGGTAAGCCATCCAAAATGTGATATGTTCGCTGAAGAATGAAGTCGAACTCATGACCACTTGGAGAATCATAGACCCTTTAACTACTACACCAGACCACGAAAGGTATAAATACACATATTTGCTAACAAAAAGAGAGAAAACGAGTGAGATATAAAAATATATAATTTATAAACTATAAAATAAATGAATGAGATTGATATTTATAATAACTTCTAAGTTGTTTCTTTTTTTATAATTTTTAATAAAAATTATAACATGTACCGTTGTTATTTAGATATATTCCATCGTGAGAAATTATATATGATTGCATGTGGTAAAATTTTTACAAAAGCAGCATAACAATAATGTTTGATTTGAAATTTGGAAAAATTCCAAAACTATGAACTTCTCATTTTTCATAAAATAAAACTTAAACTTTGTTTTTTTATCGAATAAAACACAAATTTTATTTTTAAGTAAAAAATAAATCCATTTTTTTTAATTTTTTTTTTATCATTTTTAACCCTATTACTGACACGGTGTTTCAATATCGTGACATATGGATGATGATGTATCAAATACGGTCAAAATATTGATTTGGCATATAAGATATCGAAACGTCACGTCAACAACAAGGTTAAAAATGATAAAGATTATAAAATTCGGATTTATTTTTTACTGAAAAATGAAGTTGAACTTTTATTTGATAAAAAACCAAATTTAAGTTTTATTTTGTGAAAATTAAGAAATTTACAATTCGGAAATTCCATTGAAATATTAACCCAAACAAAGTGGAAAGATATCCTTCAATAATAAAAAAGGAGGTTGAATGATGGAAACGACAAGCAATATAATAACCCAAATTTAACATATATATATATATATATAGACTGGCGGATCCAAAAAAAAATATTAGTGGGGACAATAGATGACCGTTTCGATATTCGGTTTAGAAATAGATCGGTTAGAATCTTTCGGTTTTAGAAAAATATATATCAATCGGTTATAATATCATATTTATTTTCGGTTTGGTTTCGGTTTTTATTAAAAAATGTATGTGATGTTTTATTAAAAAATTTATTTTTCGGGTTTTTTAAAAATTCGGTTCATATCAATAAATTTGGTTTTCTAAAAATAATATCGTTCGGATTAAATAAAATATCGTATTGTTAAGTTTTGTACGGTTCGATTATAAAATCGTACCAAAATGTTTACGCTAAAATATTATATAAACAATAGATAAAAAAGTAATAAAATATATTGTCAAAATAATATTTATATTTTACTACTAAATTCTATGATTTTTTTATTTTCTAAAATTTATCTATAACAATTTTATTTATAATTATCTAAAATATATAGTTTCCGATAAAACAAACTAAATAAAAATTGTAACTTTGATGTATTTTTAATTTAATTTAAATTTATTTTTGTATTGTGTTTAATATTAATTTTTTTAGAAAATTGAGAGAGAATATATATATATATATATGAAGACGTATATGGAGATGGATGTGTAAGATGACGACGTTTACATGGCCTTTTTTTGGTTGATTTTACAGAACATGAGATCTATAACGTGGGATTTTGTATTCATGTGATTTTGCCTAGCTGGCACAACTTGCCCTTCTCCTTTATTTTTATTTTTATCTACTTATTTTATTTACCACTTCCGTTGATAATTTTAAAACAAAAAAAAAATCTTCGCCAATTGTAACATATTATAAAAAAATATTAGATGTGTCGTCGTTAGGAAAGATGTTTCTGTAGTATAATCGTTATATTTAAGGATATTTTTTAGATAAAAATATATACTATTCACTTTGATTTAATCAAAATTTCCACTGTTAAATTAAACTATAAGATGCTAACAATACCCGTCGAACATATTCTCAAATAACCCAAAATTAAAAAAGGTTAAAAAGTTGAAGGATACATTTGTGACCCATCACATGGAATTCATAAAAAAAAGTTTAATGCAGGGATTAGGGACTAATCAAAAGTAATTTACTAGATCCAAAAATCACCTTTATTTTTAACCTCGATAGATCGAGGAGAGAAAAAAAATCACATGCAAGTCAAATCTATTTTAAATATTTAGGTTTATATTTTAGGTATTAATTTTAAAACTATATCGAGTCATACATTATCGTAATTAAAAAAATTACTATGAAATTATTAGTAACGGCTATAACGAGTGTTTTTTGTATAGTTTCGAGTATAAAACCGAAAAACTCAAGGTCGTATATATAATTGAAAGAAAAGGGAACGACAAGGGGTTAGATGATAATTTTTAAAATATGGGGGTGAAAATATGAAGTAGAAACAAATACGGATACAGAAAGAAAAGTGGGAAATCACATGGGAGGCTTGGAGGCACGTGGAGTGTGGTTTTCACCTTTCATTTTGTCTGTCTCCAGCTCACCATTTTTTCCCACTTCTTAAAAAAATAAAACACTTTAATAATTTTATTTTTCCTTTAAATATTTTTATAATTTAAATTTAAATTTTGAACTGTTAAATAGTTAATATTGCAATGAATAGTTTAATCTGTTATTAACTGGACATTCGTATAATAAAATACAGTTTCTAACGTAAAATAGATTTCTCTATACATTCAAAAGCTAAATAATATATTTTTATTATATGGAACATTCAGTTGGAGGTGAGAAGAGTTGTGGGTTTTCCATAATATAAGTTATCTATATTTTTTTATTTATTATAAATAAAATTCATTTAAATAGTTGAGATATTGAGAGATGTATATAAAAAATAATTTAACGTATATAATTTTGATGTTTCAACAATAATAAAAAAAATTGTGGATAAGATGATAAGACACTTGATGTTACATATTTCATCACCATGTCATTGTCCTCCCTCTATTATCCATTCGATCTGTATAGTCCTCTTACTCATTATTTGATCGAACCTCTGCTCCCATTTCGGTCGTCTCGGTGTTTATATATATATCATTTTTTAAAAATTATACCTTAACACGGGCGACTATGCGAGGGATATATTTAATATTTTTCCTGGAAACGAATGGGAATGGGCCTATAAATTGGGGACACATTGGGCTTTAGACCGTGGGCTTCGGCCCAGAAGTAAATAAAGCCTAAACTTTGTGAAGGCCCAAACATTAATTCTAATGTGAACTTTCAGGGTACGATTGAGTTTAAATACTAAATTTGATTGTTTTTTTCTTTACATGAAGAAAAAGAAATGTCGTCGTATCATATATAAATCATGACTTCATACTTCATTATAAAAAAAAACATCCAAAGTCGTAAAAAAATAAAATACAACTGTACGTACGGACAACGTTTTGGTAAAGAAGTTACAGACCATGTGAACCAATGAGCTTGGTCAAACCAAACGTGACCGCCATGGCTAACCATCCTCCGACCAAAACCCTAGCCGCCGATCTCCTTGCCGGACCTTTTCCCAACACCGCTCCTAACCAACCGAAAACCACCAACGCCGCCGTCACAGCCGCCGTAACCGCCGCTATTCTCACTCTGTACCCTTTTATAAACGCTGCCGCCAATAGCGGCACAATCGCACCCACCGCAAACGCTAACGCAGATGCCGCCGCCGCTTGGACAGGGCTTGGCAGCCTCTCCTCCTGTTGGAAGGTTGTGAAATCAATATATTCAAATCTCATGTACTATCGAAAATTTCCTCCGTTTTCGTATATTTTGCATGTTAATTTTGTTGCATATACTATATAATATTTGGGATGGTCATCAATAACAGATTTTCATATAAGAAATATTAAAGAAGTGTCTAATAAAATCTCTGTTAATAACATTGAAAATGGCTGGAATAACGTTATAATAAAGCGTTAAAACTAAAAAAAATTGTTTTAGCCTAATTCGATTTTTATATAATTTGCGATTTTTATAGTTAGGGCTGATAATATACAGGTAAAAGGGTCTTAGCATGGTTAGTACGATTATGGATACGTTACAGAGCTTGTGATACCTCCTCGGCCGCCGCCGTGGATTCCGGCGATCTCTGCCGCTGCCGGTTGATCTGGGCGAGTTGGATGTCGTACTGAGAGTAGACGGAGACGAACTCTCCGATGGCCATACTGGAAGCTCCGGCGACAAGTCCGGCGAAACCGGAGAGGATCATAGCCTTGACGTCTTCCTTGACGGCTCCTACGCCCATCATCAGTGACGCAGTCGATACCAGCCCATCGTTAGCCCCCAGCACCGCGGCTCTTAGCCACTGCCCTCTCTTCGAATAGTCCAACTGCTCTTCTCCTCCTCCCCCTCCTTGGTTTTTGGATTTCTCCAAATCAAGATTCATCATCATGTTGTTGGGTGATGACGATTCCATGTTGGGTTACAAAAGTATTTAAATTTGTAATTTATCCTATGAATAAGTGTGGGGAACACACGCCTCGCTAGGAGATGTTCTATTTATTCCACTCGTGGAATATTTTATATTCGATTTAATTCATTTTTTTATATATAAAAATATTGTGTTATAGAATAAATCGAATTATATTATTTTATATTGTGTTATTGTGTGTGTGTCTCCGAGATGCCCGTGCCTCGAGGTGCAAATATTGAACTCTTTTTTAAAAAAAAAAATTAGAACATAGAATTGCATATTTGTCTATATATCGACATTTTATTAATTGAAAATTTTGTGTCAAATTATCCAACCTGCGGACACCCTATGTCCACCTTATCTCCTTTTATCATATTTTTTTTTGCTGTTTTAATTATTTATGTTCCATTAATGTTCCTAAAATTAAGAAGTAGATAATATTTTATTATCATTGTTCATAATTAGTGCAGAATTTAGCCAAATTCCAACCGTTCACATCATTATCAGAACGAACAAAAAAAATCAAGAAAAGAAAGTGGTCTTCCGCGTATGAGAAAGCAAAAGCATCATAATACGTGAGGGTTATGAAGAGATCGATTCCATAATTCAAAAGTAACAAAAGATCAATTAAATAAAATGGAAAATAGACACAAATGATATTTATTTTTATTTTTTCTTATTATAATTGGACAGAGAATTATATAACTAACGTGATGAAATACATGTATGCATGCATGCTTTTTTTGTGAAGAAATAATTAATGAAAGAAATATATATCAACTCCTTAGCAATATTGTTTAGTATAAGCAATCTATATTCTGAACACTTTTATAAAATTATATAAATTCAAATCATTGATTGAGTGAACAAACAAATATTTGCAAAGTGTTAATTTTTATTCAACTTCTCTCTTTACACATGTTTTAAAATATTTTGGATTTAGATATATAATCAAGTTAAATAAAACTGAATAATTTATAATTGTCTCACAATTAGTTCTAAAATGAATCTAAATATAAAAATTACAAAACAGCAAAACAGAATCTAAAAAAGTAAATATTTTTTTATAAATGTAAATTTTTTATAATGAAATATAATTCGAATTTTAAAAAAATATAAATTTAATAAAAATCAAACCAAATTAAGAAATAAGAAATATGCAACCTGTTCTCCATAATTTATTTTAATACATTAAAATAAGTTTTCAAAATTTATTCCATTTTTTGAACATTTTTATACTTTTCCTCTTAAAACAAAATATTTACATGGAAATCTTTATGTGGACTTTCTTCATCAGCCAAGACAAAAACAATAAAACAGATGTCGGGGAGTCGGGCCTTTTTTTTTCCTTTTAATTTTCTTTTTTTTTTAAAAAAAAAATTATTCTCTTTTTTCAGAACACGGAAATTGTGGAAGTGTTTTTCACAGACTTTTTTTTTTAAAATCTTTTTTATTTTTCTCTTTTCCTCCTTTATTCATTCCTTTCTGTAATTATTTATGCTTTTTTACAAGACAAAGAGATAAGCCGAAAAGGTCGGCTAATCAATCATTTTTTATATTATCAATTATTGAATATTTTGTTATTGTTGAATTGAAATATCTGTTGAATTTGAATAAAGATGACCATTGTTAGCTACAAGTGAACCGTATAATTTTATCATCTATTTTTTTTTGATAAAAAAAAAACTATAACCATTCGGTTTTTATATAAATTTCGGTTCAATTCAATTCGATTGTTTTTTTGGTTCGGTTCAGTTTCGTTAAAAAAATCATTTTTCAAAAAAATTATCAGTTTTTTTTTTCTAATTTTTTATTGGTTCGGTTTTGATTTTTTCGGATTTAAAAAATCATAATCATTTGGTTTTGATGTCGGGTTCGGTTCGGATATGGTAATATCTTATTCGGTTCAATTCGGTTCGGTTATATCCGGTTGTTTTGGTTATATAAAAACTATAACCATTCGGTTTTTATATAAATTTCGATTTGATTCAATTTGGTTATTTTTTGGTCCGGTTCGGTTTCGTTAAAAAAATTATTTTTCAAAAAAATTATCGTTTTTTTTTTAATTTTTATTTGTTCAGTTTCGATTTTTTCGCCAAAATCACATATAGTTGTTGCACGATATCGACTGATGGATTTGAGAAATTAATACGAAACAATCAATGACTAATGCTAAACGTAATGAGAAATATATGACCTAAATAATAAATCGACACATTCACAGAGATATTTTATAGATTTAAGTCCAATTAATTTTATGTTCATAAGATGTTTTCACGCAAAAAAAAAAAAAAAGGATTATTGGATCCGCCAAAGAGTTGCAAAGGAACAAGAGAAGTGAAACCTTAGCCACAAAATAGATAATAGAAGCTTTTTTTTTGTATTTTTCAAATAAATAAATGAATAGAAAATACAGAAGAAATGGATTGCTGAATGGGAAAGCACTTCAGATAAAACATTTAGTGAGAGATGAATAATAAAAGAGTGTGGATTCCACACGAATGGCCCCACCTCCATACATACATACATACATACATACATACATACATACATACATACATACATACATACATACATACACTTTATATGGGCCGTATTATGGCTCATAGACCCAATACAGTGTTGACCCGTACGAAGGCAAAATCACAAGCATGCACGTGAAAGCGTGCGGATAATTACCATGTTGGGCCGATTGATTTATGAAGCATATTTTTATCACATTGTGGGCTTAGACTTGGCCCATTATTTTGATGGATTGTTTGGTAATTTTGGAAGATTTTCCCGCGGAAATAGACTCGGAAGATCTGAGCCGTTGATTTCTTATCTTTTGTCGTTCAAATTCCACGCACGCGTCGAAGAGCCGAAACCAGAATTGCACGTTTCCATGGACCAAACCATGATAAGATTATCATCGCAATTCAAACTTTGCCCTCAATTTCGGTTCAATTCAGTCATCAATTCCCAGAAGCCGATTTCTCTTTCTGTTGATTTTGAACTCCGGCGAAGGTATATCTCCAGTTTCAAGCTGGAGTGTGGCGGCGGTGACGGCTTGGTGTTCGACGCCTCTGCTTTTGAGGCCGAGAGGTTGAGCATGGACGCGGCGGCGAGGGAGGCTATGGCGGAGACGGCGAGGAAGGAGATGGAGTCGGGTCCGGAGAGTGACCCGAAAGCGTGGAAATGGGTAATCCGGAAGCGGATTTGGGATCTGATGGAAGCTGGGAACTACGCCATGAACCCTAGACCCGTTCATCATCGTATCCCTAATTTCGTTGGCGCGCCGGCCGCTGCAGGCAAAGTGCGTAAATTCACCCGTTTTATCTTGAATTGTTTTTTTGTACGTTCTGGGTTTTGTTTGGCCGCTGAGAAAATTGCCAAAACTCGAGCTCTTGTTCAGTTGGCGGAGCTTGAAGCGTTTCAGATGGCGAAGATCGTGAAGGTTAACCCGGATTCACCACAAAAGCAAATCAGATTTCTTACGCTTTCTGGCAAGTTTATTCAATTCTACCAATTTTGCCAATACTACTAATGCTCTAGGATTTATCTTTGTAATTTTCAAAAAGCATGAATTTTTTCATGGATGACTAAGCTTTACTCGCACAAGCAAACCACTTTGATTCTGGCTAACAAAACTGTATATTAAGTTAGCAGATTTTGGTGTTTGGGTATCTAAGTTTACTCACACTAACACATGGCGCTTTCTTACCCAATTTCTGGTCGAAGTCCGATGATTCTTTGGAATCATAATCCGAGTTTATCATGATGGGTTGTACATGTAGGTGGCAAGAAGCTTTTGACTCCTCAACCAAGGCTAAGAACAGGGTTTTTCTCTGTACTTGAATCCGATATGCTGAAACCCGGCACCTTGAATGAAGCTTGCACCTCCGTGGGTGTAGCCAAGTACGGAAGAGC